TTGCTGCCATGCTGGCCTTTAATTTAAATAAAATACTTTTTTATTCCTTCGAGCCTGCCTACCTGCCTGCATTATGGGTCCTACCCCACAACCAGAACACAACAGAATGATCAGACCAACTACAGAACCCAGCAGGCAAGATTCATCTGTTTAAGTTCCTGGCTCGAGAGGTGGCCAAGACTAAGCAGTGGGAAAAGGAGGAGAGAGAGAGAAAAGAGAGGCTCAGCTGCCACAGTCCATCATCTGGTGGGGAGGTTTCCGGGTGACAGTTCCTCAGCCAACCCAGTGACGAAGACATATAAAGGCCGTGGCTCCGAAGTGGAAGTCCTTCCATCACCTTTGATGGTGGAGGAAGAGAGACAAAGGATACAGCTCTGGGGTACTTGGCTGGTTTTAAGGTATGCTCCTGCATCTCCACCCTCTCGCTCCCCTCGTCGCCACCATCGCCGTCAGAAAACAGCAGCAGTTTCTCAAGAACTGACAGTGCCCAGCTCTCTAGAGCCGACAGGGTCCCGCATATTTCTCCCTCCAGTGTTGCCTCCGAGAGTTTCCCCGAGACCTCGCCCTCCAGTGCCGAAGGTCAAGAAGGTCTCCGAGACCTCCAACCNTCTATCCTCATGGGGACTTTGCATTGACTTCCATTCACTTACAGATCATTTCTATAGCCTAACCCAGACCACAGATCATAAACCTGACCACCACCTGAGCCTAAACCTAAACCAATAGTCCTAACTTAACCCTGGACTCACCAATGGTATTTCCCCCAGTGGCGACTGGGCTTTTGACCCATTAGGAACAGTGGGTCCTTACAAGGCTGTGTGTACCAGGAAAATGGTAAAAGTTGTCCCCACTAGGTAACAAAAACATGTACACAGATAATGTTGTCGTCCTATAGTTTACACAGATACTACAAGTCAAAGTCATATCCGGGAGAAACAATCAATGTCTCAATCTTGTCTATGGCTAAATGCTGTTAGTGAGTTTTAGTCGAACATTAGGAGATCTCAAGAGACATGATACTACCGGCTGTTAATGGATACGCTGAAGCCTGAGTCTGGCTAAAGTCTGGTTCACAAACCAGCATAAAATATTCTTGAGTATTGTGTGTTCCCAGTTTCAACTGACTAGATGAGGAAATCTGTGGATCAGTTCACTGAGCTCATTTTAAAGTTTAATAGGCACCTTTCTCCTTTATTTTAGTTTTATTTTCCTTCTCTCTTTAGTGGTCAGATACTTTCTCTCTACAGTGATCCTCCATGAAGGATCAGAAGTTCAGGATCAGTGCTGTGAAATAAATGTTCTGTTCCTGCAACAGAAACTTTACCAAGTCAATGAAGAGCCAAACACCAGTACTGTCACATATAACAAGTGATAATGCTCAGATTAGAGCAGAGGAGCCCAAAGTGGGGCCCGCGGGCCAAATTTGGCCCACCAAGCCATTTGATTTGGCCCACCAGCAGTTAGTTACAAGCTTGTAACCTGACATACTACGTAGAAACACAGTATTTCCACTGAAAGTCATTTTATTCATTGGTCAAATGAATATAGATGCAGATACTATAAGACATTTTTTCCTTCTTTCTGCCACCTTTCATTTTATTTGTGATTTGTATTTTTATTGTACATAAATTTTGTTAATATATATAAGGGACTGTAGTGCAGATAGTTTTCACTGATGGTGCTGACTTTATCTTTGATATATTAATATTAAACATGAAACGTGAAATACAAATAACAACAAGAGACATTTAGATTAGATTTAACCCCACATGTAGATTTGCCCACGTTATAAGGCCACAAAAACTCACATTTTATCAATTTATGAAATGTCCCATGAGCCTTTGCTGCTTGAGCGTATGGCAGACTTCACTAAAAACCAAAGTGGGCCATTGCACTGGCTGAAAGATTAATCATTAAAAATAAAGTACTTTATTTAAAA